TAAAGAACCAGATAGCTTCATTTAAGACATAATTGGAATTCCCTTTAAGAGAGAGAAGAGGTTAAAACTCCAGAAGAAAAAAAGTACAGCCACATTTAACAGCACTGCCTGACACAGTCTTTGCAACTGTAAATGCACAATCACCTCAAAGATCAATATTTGTTCTATATTTTAAGATGAGGATGCAACACAGAGAACGCTCACTGTGCTTCCAGGAGAAGACACAGGATAATCTGGGAAAACACAACATGACGTTTTAAGGTAATGTCTAAAAATCAGGACGATCACCCAGCTGAGATTATGGTTCAAAAATAAAGCATTGCCCTTGATAGACTCCTTAGCGATACTTCTATTTGTACATCTACTGGGAAGTATAACAATTTTACGGAGGCATTGTAACATCAACTTTATACTGTCTGGCTTTTTCAAATGAGAATATCCAATAAGGTTATGGCTTAAGACCACATGCCCAGAGGTACAGGGATAAGGAAACATAAAACAACATTAAAAAAAAGGACCTGTAATCAAGATTTTAGGGTGTTCTGGTGTAAAAATCTTCATCTTTGGAACTAGGCAAAGTAGAACTGAATGTAGGTCAGTACTAATGCAGGTCAATGGCCATGACTGTATGTGTAGGTTACTTGAATTCTTTGAGTTTCTTTACCTGTGAGATGGCAACCAGAGTCTACAGTGTGTGTGGCGGGGGGAGGGGCAGGGGTCAATAAGTGATGGCCAGTTGCCTGTTTTTGTAAATAAAGTTTTATTGGAATACAGCCATACTCCTTGTCTATGAATGCTTTCTGTTACAGAGGCAAAGTTAAGAATGACAACAGAAAACTTAAAATGTTTACCATCTGTCCTTTCCGGTAACTGGTAGCCAATCCCTCCCTGGTCTGTGAGGTTGCTGTATGGACTAGAAATTATTTAACATAGTGTGTGGTACATGGTAGCTGTCTTGTTAGATCATTATTCAAGTAAGGGAAAGGTTAAGGTCATATAACCTAGGAAGAAAATGTTTCAACTGCCAAATACTGTTGATCAATGAATCCTTAATCATCTGAGAAGAGAAGAAGCTCTTACCCAAAGTGCTTCACTTAGTTGACAGAAAAGATTGTAACCTATACTTTACTCTATGGAAAAATGATGCAGGACAAATGCAAAGTAAAAGGACAATAAGATACCATTTCTCACCTATCAGACTGGCAGAAATCTCAAGTCTGACAACTTATTTTGTTGGTCAGGCACTGGGGAAATGCTCTCATGCATTTTTACTAGGAGTGCAAATTGTTGAAACTCTAGGGAGTGAAACTTGGCAAGATTAGCAAAATTCCATATAATTTACTCATCAGTTATCCTTGGGAATTTAATCCCTAAGATATCTGGCAAAAGCACAAGTGTGCACAGGGTTATTCATCACAACATTCTTCTGTAAGAGCAAAAGACTGAAAATAGCCTGAATGTGCCCCATGAGGTACTGGAAAAGAAGGAGTTAAAGCAAGTCATTTGTGATCCATTTTTCTCTGATTACCAAAGAGATATACTGGGGTTGAGGGAAGAAGGTGAGTGACCTGATTTCACTTCTTGTAAAAATATGAACTAGATATGGGACAAATAGAATAACTAACTAACTAATTACTTATTTATTTTTTGTTTGTTTGTTTGTTTGTTTGTTTTATTTTCTTGCTAGGAAGAGTCCTCATCAAGCAAGAAAACCCTGGTTTGGGACGTTAGGATAAACAAATCTTCAATCCATAGATGGATGAGTTAAGACTCTCTGGAGAATGTCACATGAGCTCTTCAAATTTCTTAGGTGTAAACCTGGAGATGTTGCAAAATCATGTTTCCTGCTATGTGAGGGATTTGGAAATCTCACTGGAAACCTCATTTCTCACTCTGGACCAAAAAGTGTGTATAGATATATATATAGATATAGATATAGTATGATAAAGAAGAATAGGGCAAGGTTACAGGTATATGCAAGTATGAGCTTGCATATGTGCAAATAAACACCAGAGGATTAAACCAAAAGCTCATAACCATATAACTGGGGGAAGGAAGAAGGCACAGGACATAGGGGCAGGGGACACATGTGACATTTCTCTGAAAACACTTCATATATATAAAAACATATAATTTGTACTTAGAGACACATAAATGTTATATATTCAAAAATAAAATGAGATTTTAAAAAATACATTAAAATTGAAAAGATTCTGAAACAAAGGAACCAAATTATGTATAAAAGTTAGAATATGACCACATAGGAGAAAAAAAAAAAAAACTTAAGTAACCTAAGTTTTGAGTCTTTAGTTGTACATCTTTAATGTAATATAAAATGAAGACTGACAGCAGATTTTAAAACTTCATTTAATATTCCTGGGGCACCTGGGTGGCTAAGTCAGTGAAGCATTCAACTCTTGGTTTTGACTCAGGTCATGATCTCATGGGTTGTGAGATCAAGCCCAGGGTCAGGCTCCATGCTCAGCAGTGGCGGGGGTGGTAAGGGGAGTTCCTGCTTGAAAGTCTCTCCCTCCCACTTGCACATGACCGGAAGTAAGCACTCTCTCTCTCAAATAAATAAATCTTTTTAAAAACCAAACAAAAAAATTTTTAAACTTCATTTAATATTTTTATTATGAGTGGTAATATTAGTATTTATATTTTTGAAATATATATATATTAAAATAAATAAGTCTTGTTAAGAACCACGATTTTTAGTGAAAAAGAAAATAAATGCAAATATAGTGTCAGAGAAATTAAAAATTCTGTAAGGCTATGTCTGATTTGGAAATAATGTAAGAATTCAGCTTATTTTTTTATTTAAAAAAGGTATTTGCAGGACACCTGGGTGGCTCAGTCAGTTAAACATATGACTTTGGATGGGGTCATGGTTCCTGGGACCTGAGATTAAGCCCTGCACTGGGCTCCCCGCTCAGGAGGGAGTCTGCTTCTCCCTCTCCCTCTCATCCTCACCCCTGCTCACACTCTTGCTCTCTCAAATGAATAAATAAAAAATCTTTAAAAAAATAAATTATAAAGTATTTTCTAGCTCAGCACAGAAACATGACAGTGCAGATATAATGGCCATCCCTAGTATTTAGATTGTGATTTCAAAATACCATTCTCTATAAAGAAAAGAGGGCTTCTTTCCAGGTCTGGAATGTTGGATGGGCTTGTACATCTAGTTGTTCTGGAAACAAGGAAACTATCAATGACTGATGGTCCTGTGTCAAAAGGACACAAAGTCAGTGTGAAGTTGTTCCCCGTGACCGAAAGGGAACGAAGTGAACATAAGTGCAACAGGGGGCTAGAATAACAAGATAAACAATACCACAAACAGACAAATCCAGAATAGGAGATATTCTTCCAGCAACTGACCTGGTTTCTTGACAAGTCAATGACATGAAGAAAAATGAAATGAAGCTGGGAGGGAACTGTTACTTGAGATGTAACAAGACAGAATCTGTAGGCTTCAGTAGCATGATGATTCAAACCAGTATCTGCACGATGACATTTTTGAGATGGTCAGGAAATGCAACATTGACTGGATATTCTATGATGCCAAGGACTTACTGTTATTTGCATTTGGTATGATAGTGGCATTATGATTCTGGAAGAAAACACCCACTTTTTTTTTTTTTTTCAGAGATGTGTCCTCAATCTACGTAGGGATGAAATGACATGATGTCTGCAGTTTCCTTTAAAATATTTTAACCCTATCCCCCAAGAATAGACAAAGGAAGTATGACAAGGTCCCATCGAAGATGGATAATGACATTTCATTTGTTATTCTCTTCCCTTTGCTTATGTGTTTCTCATACTATGAAAAGAGAGTCAATAGAAAGTTTCTTTGGGAAAAGATTACACACAAAATGAAGGATTGATGTGATCTTTTATGCTTTATTTTAAGTCAGCCTGTGAGATCTGCCCATCTCAAGCCCAACTCCTGTAATAGTCCTCCTGTGAGACCTACAGTGATGGTGTAGACTCGGTGGGAGTTTAGGGAAAGAAATAAATCTTTTTTATTTTAAAATTTTAAAGTAGTTTATTATTTCTTTAACCATTTGGTCAGCTTGGGATTAATACACATAAAAACACATTTTCAATATGATAAAAAGAACAAGTCAAAATCTGCCTTTAGAGTAAAAAAAGAAATTAAAATCACTTTTCTCTATTACAATAGCTGTACCAACACGGCGAGCTCCAGATAAGACACTAAAAGCCACTGGGAGGGATCTGTCCCACAGGCTTTCACTGAGTTCTAAGGCAGGTGGGTTAGTAACCTTACCGACCCTACCTCGACTTCATCTGATGTTATAATGAGTCCATTTGGGACTGCTTTTAGGTAGGAGCGCCATGATCTCAGTTTTTAACTTAGAGCGAATAAGACCTAACAATTCTGATGACTGGGAAGATGTCAATATCAATATATTTCTTTGTTCTAAAACTGTAGAACGGGGGCACCTGGGTGGCTCAGTTGTTAAGCGGCTGCCTTCAGCTCAGGTCATGGTCCCAGGGTCCTGGGATCGAGCTCCACGTGGGGCTCCCTGCTCAGCAGGGAGCCTGCTTCTCCCTCTCCCTCTGCTGCTCCCACTCCTATTCTCTCTCTCTCTCTCTCATGCATGCCCTCTCTCTCCAATAAATAAATAAAATCTTTAGACAAATAAAATAAAACTGCAAAACTGAAATGACATGGGCGGTAATAAAGCTAGAAACTTCCTGGAGTTCTACAGTTAGACAATTCACCTTTGATGCTCTTTCCTACTTTAAGAGGATTTTCACATACGTTCCTCTATGGAAGGCAGGAATTTTATAATGAAAAGGGCTACTTTACAAGGAAACAGAGGCTCTGGAGACAAAATGATGACTGCCTCACGGGCACACAGTCCCTAAAGCAGTGGTGGTGAGACCACTGATTTATCATCAGGAAATTCCTTAGAATGAAGCGGGACATGAGACCCTGAAAGTGAAGACATGCCAACAGGCTAAACCCTGCTTACCTTTCAAAGCCAATCTGCCGAAACGTCTTTTCCCACGTGGAGCCTACAAAGAGAAGGAAAGGACGTAATTAATTGATGCACACTAAGCATGCAGTTAGTTAGTTCTGTCCTGGGTTTGCAGACCCTGGCAGATACTTGGTTTTAGAGTTAAGTGAGAGGAGTTTTCCCTCAGATGCATCGTTCTCCACCTCCAGTCCCCCAACAACACCTTTGGAGAACAGTCCACGTAACGCGCCATGCGACAAAGAGCTCTGTCATTTTCCTCTGGTCACGCTGCAGGCCACTAAGTCATTCTCTAAACGTCTGAATGTGTCACAATAACATGGGTGAAACTCTCCTGCCAAAATTAATGCAACAGCATAGTGTAAGTTCTACTCTCTAAAACTTAACATTTAATTCCGTGGGGCCCATGGAAAGCTACATGGGCCTCTGAAGGTCCGACTCATACCAGGTTTTTATCTCATCATTGTTGAGGGACAAGGATTCACATGTCTCTCTTTCTAAAGCTAAACATTTAAATCAGGAGACTCTTGAATATAAAAATGTTGTTTCCAGTGACATGACTTGAAGAACAGTATATCCAAATCCATAAAAGAACAGCTGGGTTTGAAAAAAAAAAAAGTTTTTCTATAATTTTTTCATGTACTAGTTCTTTCCTACATTATAGGCATAATAATTTTCTGAGGACTTGATGTAAAGCAAAGTGCTCATATTTGTCAAAGACCACTTTAATAAAAACTGCATTAATAAAAGTTAAGGATTGGTACTAACCCCATAATTTTACATTTTCCATCAATCCATGCAAAATCATTTTGATTTTAGTAAATACCCACCTAGCCCTAAATCTGTGAGTTGTGTTATGCACAAAACTGCTTGATCATCACAACATATCATCACTATCATTCTGTACAATTTCCTTCTGCAAATAGGAAATGGTAGATTCAGCCTTGGGTCTCCAGAGGCAGCTAAAAATCTACCCTTCTTCTTTTCCTCCAATCACAGTTAACTAGGTTGCTGCTATGCTTCTTTCTTGAGAACTCTGCTTTACTCTAATGCTTTGCTGTCAGGTGACGACTCAATGTCTCCCAGGCCTTAGTCTTCTGGAAAGACAGGCGATTATACAGTATTCTCCCCAGGCCCTCTCTGAGGACTGAGCTAGTCCCAAGAGAGCATGAACATGGTGTTTCACTATGGGCTTTGGGCTCATATACTTGGTTATGATGAATCATTTTAAATAAGTATTATACATAATAAAGGACTGCCTTTTAGATATAATTACACACACACGCACAAATTTAAAGCAGATTCAGGCTTATCTCCTCGGATGAAGTCATTCTTATCCAAATTAAATTCCAATATGCTTTGCTGAGTAGGAGTGAAAGTCATGGAATTTTAGTTCACCAGCCCAGGAATTTCCATGGCTCCTGGTCCAGGGGAGTAGGCCTATATGAATGTCGTCTGTCCTGTGAATCTCATGCAAGACAGTTCAAAATCCCTATCTCAGGAATTCTTGGAAGACAATTAGCACGCCCTGGAGATACTAACAATTAAGACTCTGGCAAAACATAACATAACCTGAGTCAGAAACCACATAAAGACAGCTGGCAACTGCCTGGCCTGAGCAGAGAAGTGGGAGAGATTAAGAGTCTCTAGCCAAGTGAGAACCAGACAGTCTGAGCTCAGACCAAGTGGGAAGGGTCTAGAAAGGCTGGAGGGGTTGGTGAGGGCATTCAGATGCTATTCTTCTTGACTTGCTTCCAGGGAGAAACAAAGCACCTTTACATTTTTTCTACATTTTCATCCCCCCACCTCCCCAATCTGCTCAGTGTATTCCTAAATGGATTTTTTAAATAATTTTTTCAGAAAACCCTCCCTTTTGATAGACTCAGTCTATTATCAAGTTAAAATAAAAATAAATCATTTTGTGATCTAGCACTATCAGGCTTTTAAACATGACATTTTAATTAAGACCTAGGTTCCCTCTTCACGTTTCTTGGAAAAGTAAAGTTACTCAAATAAGCAGAACAAGATAAGAGTTTTTGGTGTGAGACTTCCAGTACTCCTTAGAATAAACATTTCCAACCAATCAACCAGGCACAACAGAGATGACAGAAAAACGACTTCCTCCTAGTAGCTAGATATTAATGTTAACTGATAATTTGAGCATCTTACATCCAAAAGGCACTCATCTTTGTTTGCTGTTGATACTCTATTAATCATCTTACTATGTTTGGTATAAGACTGAATAAATTAAAATATGGTTTCTGCCCTCAAACACCACATACCCTAGAGGTTTGGGTTTTTATGTCTTTTGTGAGCACTTAGTCATGATGAAATGAGAAACACACAATAAATGGAACAGACACATCCAGATCCTCTGGCACCACGAGTATTTTTGACAGCTCGTTATTCAGTGGTTGGGGAATTCTTTTAAAGCCATTAGCCATGTTCTACATGGTAAGGTAATATTCTCTTTTGCTGGAGCAGTCCAACAGGGAGAGAAAAGTAGGGAAAACAAAAGTAGCTGGCAGACTTCCTTGATTCAACACTTTTTAAATGAGATTTATAATATGGAGAAGTCTAAAACATGTTACATTCTTCAGGGGAACAGCAACAAAGAAGAGGAAAATATATAGCACAGAGAAAGGGCACGAAGCTTAGAGGGATTTTTTTTTTTCCTTTCCAATCATAGATGAAGTTAGAAATAATGAATTATGATTCCTCACTTCCCAAATGTCTCCAACATCCAACAACAGAACTGAAGTCTGGAATGGAGCATCATGGCGTCCAGAAGCTACAACCACACCCTAGACTCAAGGTCATTCGGTCTGCAGAGCAAGTTCCCGTATCTCCTGTCCTAGGTACCCAAGGTAAGAAAATGCCCTTTGGCACCCTGCAGCACTGACATTCCAAGGTGGGCGAGGGGGGACCGCCATGCCCTGAAGCAGAAGCACAGGACATTTCCTCCTCAAATACATCAATCAGCAGTCGCTCTTTTACAAGCAAAACTCTACCTATCTCTTCTCTTCTCTCTCTCTTCTCTCCCTCTCTCTCTCCCCCCATTTCCTATTGACCTCTGTAGATCCAAGCTCCAGTTCTTTCCAGAAGAGAAAGAAGTCATGGAAACTTTTTTGGGGAGCTACCTTCTCCCTGCCAATGAGCGGATTCTGCTGGGGCTCCCAGTCCTACTACCTCTTCTTCCCTGTCCCAGCAGCAAGGAAATCCAGGAGATTTGGGACCCCAAAGCTCTGAACTTTACTCACAGCCTTGCCATCCTTTGGGGGCTGTTTTTCTTGTCTTGCCGTCCTTCTTCATTTTCCTTTCCTTACTTTCCTTGCTATCATTTGTCTGTCACCTTGATCTGGCTGTAATATGGAATTTAAAACAATTTTTTAATTCTACAAAATTTTACGTGTCTGATTATTAGCTTTAGTAGCATGCAAGAGCCTCTAATAGAAGTTATATCATCAAACACCTTCCCACACCACTTTCCATCCAGGACCTATGACTTTCCCTAATTTCCTTGAGCACTCAGCATGCCCAGCAGGAGTTCATTTTGTACAGATAGTCACGTATAGAATGCCACATGCCAACATGTCACTTGAAGATGAGGGCACAGAGCTGATTCATTTTTACTTCTAATTTTTTTGTAGTAGTCGTTTAAAATCACAGGACTTTACCTGTCCCCTGAAACAGACATTAGAGTCCCAGGATTTACAACCAGGTCCCTTTCAGTTTGTAATTTTCTGTTTTTCATAAACATTAAGGAGACTGCAAAAAAATATATCTTTGTGTTGTAAATTGGTTACTTGCTTTATTATCACGTTTCCTCTGTGATTACTATTCTCATTCTTTCAATCAACTTGTTGCTCAGCTTCTAATACAAGAAGAAAGGAACTGGATTTTTCCTCCAAGTTTCATAATGCAGTGGTGAAACTGGTAGCCAAATGAGGCAGAGTTTCTTCTAATTGAAGTTTTATACCAAGTACATCTGAGATGTTGAGAGCCACTTGAATTTGGACCTGCACCTCTGTGTTTTTTCTAAATAATTAGCAGAAAAAGACTAATAATTCATAGGAGTGGTAGATTTTTGCTAGCACATTCCTATAAAAAATGGAAGTATTTTTATATATGGAAGAGGTTGCCAGGCAGTGGACCATGTGAGTTGGCCCAGAAACGGGTGATCAAACACAAATATCAGAAAATGATACTGCTTCAAAGTTTTCTAGTGGGAGTTCCATTTACTTTATTTTTAACTCTTTTTTTTTTTAAAGACTTTATTTATCTACTAGAGAGAGAGAGAGAGTGAGCAAGAGAAAGCACAAGCCCAAGCTGGGGGGATGGGGAGAGGCAGCAGATGGAGAGGAAGAGGCAGGTTCCCTGCTAATCAGGGAGCCCAATGCGGGACTCGATTCCAGGACCCTGAGACCATGACCTGAGCCGAAGGCAGTTGTTTAACCAACTGAGCCACCCAGGTGCCCCTATTTCTAACTCCTACAAATATTTTCACATCTAATCTAAGAGTTGGGTTTTAACCTTGCATCAAAGATTGACCATAATGTGCAATTCTGGGAGAAGAACAGATCTTCTCAATGGGCCAGTAGTGACATTCATTTCTCAAATATTAAAATGCCCTGGTGTTGAATGGTAGCTAAAATCTATTAAACCACAGAAATGGCTGACCTAAGGAATGATTTGAACCCAAGTTATGCAACCTTTCCTGCCAGTGAGTATGACTGTGGCACTTTGGGTTAAACGGTGAGACCTTAAAAATTTTCTGAGTCCTAATTCCCAGATGAGATTTGTCATTAATTGGTCAAAAATAACTGTAAAAGACAGAGATAAGGGAAAAAACCTTCAGGATCCCTTACATAAAATTTTTCATATTAAATGACCTATATATATTTTTAAAATCATTTTCACCTCTACCTAGTAATGCCTACTTGTAATGCCCATCAATTCCTGCTCTGTCATTAGTAACTAGATGATACAACCCTTTATGTACACAGTAACTGTCATTCAGTTGCATATTTGGGTTTTCAT